GAGGCTTGTCCGCAACTTTTTGGCGGTCACTGTAAATGTCGCATGTGCTACCAAGTTATATCGGTGCGTAAACATGAAACAATTGAGTGAAGTAATACTCCATACAGCAAAGCAAGCTCTACAAGATGGAATTCGAATATTCGCTCCAAGTTTGATTTACCTGGAGCGTCGAACCAAATTTCTCAGATTTAGATTTACTCAAAGCGCTCGAGCAATTTGGAAATTCCCAACTTGCTCAAGCGTACATTCTGCATCAGACACTCGTAGGCGCAGCTTCGTTATCCCATTGCTTGATCTCAAGAAGACGGAATTTTTTTCCCGATACATGATTTTACAGTATAGAATCTGAGAGTATAACCGTAAACTCTCATCTTTACAAGTATTAGTTCTCGAAAAATATCAAATGTAACACTCAAAATCCGAGAAACGCGACGTTTGCTCTATTTTTGTTTTTCATAGTTTGAGTGTACATGTAAATGTCTAAGTGATGTGGAGAATACATGAGTTGGAACTAAGGAGTCTTATCGGCGGAGTTTGATTTTTCTGGCGTGTAAAATATTTTATAGATCGACTCATAACTCACGTGCATTAGAGCCTGCACGAATTTTTGAGGGAATTCGTGAAGCTTGGTTTTCTCTTTTGAAGGATGCAATAGTCAGTCTTTCTCTGCACACGCTGCTGCGGTTGCATAATGCAGGCATTATTTTCCTGACAACCTGGAAATTGTAATTTGAAAATTAGCTTGATTACGCAAAATAAATGCAGTTTGCGGCAAGTGTAACTTCGGAGAAACACTTTCAAAGGTACTACCACGAATACTGTCATTCATTTGCATCAAAATAACGGGGGAAATTTTGATTCATGGCTCCACATTTTTGTTCCTTTTGAACATCAACGCAACACATTCAGCTCTCTAGAAGATCTAGCAAATCAGTACAAAATCAGATATACACCAATAAGAGGACATGTTATGGAAACGTATTTCAAAGGCATGGCTGAGATTGAGGAGAAGTTTTACACGTAAGTGACTTGCCTTTTTGTTCGATTCACAAGGAAGCTCAGTTATAGCACCTGGAAAGACATGGCACTAAATGAGAGCATGGTAAAACTTGGTCGTGAGCGGCTACCGATTTGGGACTATCCTGTTTCAGACAAGTACACTAAGATATGGAGGTAAATATAGCTCTTAAAAGCTTAAATTATTTACAAAATATTGCACAGAGTTATGCAAGAGTCTAAGTTTCCGAAAAACTTGAAGGAAGCCGTGAATCGTATTCTTACCTCAGAAGAAGAATTCGCAGTTATTGGTGCTTTGTTGTATGTTGCTGCATGAGCTGTTAATTGAGTCAAAATTTAAGCGGACACCTCTGAAATAAAATACGAAATACGCACAAATTGTCAGCTACAACAAGTTGGTACGGAATTCGCTGGCATACCCTACGCCTTCGCTGTACAAAAAGGACAACATAGTCTCAAAGACCGAATCAATAAAGCGTAAACATGTTTCATTTTGTGATTCAGTAACGTCCGAGTTAATTTTAGCATAACGACAAATAGGATACTTCTTCAAAGTCTAGAAGAGAAGTGGTGGCTTAGTAATGCAAATAAGGTAAGAGTTTTGCAAATGTCACATTTCCATTTCTACATTTATAAAGCGGGACTTCTGAGATGTAAGTTAGGAATAGAAACTTTTTTCTGAATCAAAAGCGGCAAATTTTGCATAACCAAAAGCGGCAAAATGTGCATGCTAAATGAAAAGGCATGGCATATGAACGTCGAATATATGCATAGTATAAGGTTGCCGAAAGTTGTCGCAATTCTGAACTTCATAACTTCGCGCTATAAAACGGATTTCTTTTGCTGTAATTTTATTAGAAAGAATAAGTCGCTTCCGAATACTTTTTCGAGAAACTTTTACTATACACTGGCAAAAATAAAAATGGAAAAAGAAGATCCTATAAGGTTTGGTCATTTTAACTCGAATCGCCAAAAATCGGAAACTCCGCAGAAAAATTCGAAATCGTCAATACACAAGATTTATGATCTAGTTTTTACAATCACGAAAACTTTGTATTGTCTGAACGTGTTTCTAAAAACTTATGAATTTCGAGAGAAGTGACAAATCAATTGATTTTGGCGTTTTCTATAATAAACTCGATCGTAATTTCTCACAAAGACTTGCGAACAGACAAAACTTTCCGCAGTTTCAATTAATAGGTTAAAATATTTGTTTGATGATTTTAGATATTCCTGCAACGTTCCCGATTTTTGGCAATCTAAGTTAAAATGAACTAATCTCATACGGTCTTTTTTTCCACTTTTATTCTCCGCAGTCAGTGTGTAAAAAGTTCTTTGAAGTATTCAGAAGTGAAAGACTTATCCTTTCTAATATATTAGGTTGGAAAAAAAG